TGCTTCCAATGTCTATTCAAACCACAGGAGGAGGCGTTCCGCATCCGTCCAAATAGAGTTTTTTCAACACGTGAATGCGTGAAAAGCACGCCGAGAAAGCCAAAATGGACGCGACGGCGGGAGCGCCGGCTGCGGCGGGAGTGCTGGCAGTTTCGTTCAATCAAAGCAGCCGGAGGCGGGTGAGCTGGGATCAGAGTTGATGTCGACACAAACCCTGGACTGGACTGACAACTTGACTTCGTGAGTGACTTTTTGGTTTCGGAGAAACCATTTCCACCAGATACGCTCTCTACTCTTGCCGCCGACAAAGATCTGGGCTGTCTACGAGCGCTGTCCACCCGCTTAATGTGAGATACAAAGTCGCTGTCATTCGGTAAGACGGTGTGTCCAACTACTACAGTCCGTGGCCGCCCGCTGGGTACGCCCTCCAATCATGCATACAACCAAAGAAACACTACTAAAGCGCAGCAGCTCGGGCGCCGCCGCCGCATACACCCTCAACAGAACCCTCCTCTTCCTCTTTATCATGGCAGCAAGCATGGCACCTAGCATGGCAACAAGCAGTCCAACCGAGCTCCACGACACCGTCCGGTCGCGGTACCCAGAGCTGCACTCCCTCGTCCTGTCAAAGTACCCGTCGCTCCACTCGCCGACCTCGTGCCACCTGTGCGCAGAGGAGGATCTGCCGGATTCGGACTCGGATTCTGCATCTGCAGAATTCGACTGGAATCCCTGGCCGCGTCCGCCGGCCTGTTCTTGCCCCTTGTGCGCAAAGGGGCTGCCGGGTTCTGGAGCCAAACAAAATGACTACGCGGGAAAGCATGTCGAGCGGGGCGCTGGACCGATCTTGCGAGTTGAAGGAAGTGACGATGTGGATGAACCTGTCTCACGAGCTGAAGAAAATGACTACGTGGACGAGCCTGTCTCACGAGCTGAAGAAAACGACTTCGTGGACGAGCCTGTCTCGCGAGCTGAAGAAAATGACTACGCGGATGAACCTATCTCGAGGGGCACTACCCCGCAAGAGTACGAAGTCACGGAACAAGACTATTGGAACCAAGTGGCGTTCGAGGAGTCAAAAAGACTCGAGGAGATGCAAGAAGCAAATCTCCAGAACGAGCTCGACGAAGAAGAAGAAGAAGAAGGAGAAGAAGAAGAAGACGACAGCCTGCAGTCGCAACTGGACGCGTTCCAGGACCAAGTAGCCTCAATATTGAGGGAAAGATTGTCGGAAGCGGCCAACGATCCCATGCTCGATGCCCTGCCGCAGTTCTTGCGGTGGATGATTCGGCTCAAGTGTGGCGTGGAGATTGTTGCGCTCTTCCAAGAAGGCGAATCAATCTTGAGGACCGTCAACACCGAAACGGCCGAGCGGATTGGCGCCATCCTGGCCGACCTCTGGTGGTCTGAAGACATCGTTGCCAAGGTCAAACAGGCCTGGTACGACCCGAAACGGATATACGCGGACAAGCTCAAAAAAATCAACAAATTCGCCACCGCGTACAAGCACAGGTTGGGCGAAATCGAGATGAATTCCGCAGTCAGTGAGAAATGGGGCGACGGGTGGAGGGAGAAGCTGCGCCTGGACACCATGCCGCCCCAACCCATCAAGTGTCTTTACTCTCTCGCCTGCTACTGCAAAAACTTGGCAGTCGCGGTACCTGACTGGGACCAAGCCAGAGCGCTGCTCAACTTCAGCCTCTACAGCCGCTTGAACCTGCTCGCCCTCGGAAAGCTCCCCACGTGGGTCAACCGGAAATTGCGCGTGTGCCTCGGAGACGTCAAGAAAGCGGCGCAAATGGCCAGAAGTCAGCGCTCGATGCGGTTACCAGAACTGAAGGATCCGTTGTTGTCTCAGCTATTCCTGCGATACAACGAGCACGGCGTGCTTTTTCGGAAAGACGACGAGCAAGATGGCCTCCCCTGGCGTATTTTGGATGACACGTCCCAGGAAATGTGCGACAAGCTGAACGAGGATTACGCCGAGATGGAGAAGGAGGGCTGGGCCAAGAGGTGGGAGCTCAACGGCAAGAGGAGGGCAGCGTCCGACTCCGAGTTGCCAACGGCGAAGCGACTACGCACCAGTGACGCGAGGACACGCAGGCACAGGAAAACACTTGAGCAGTTGCAGCAAAGTGAATGATTGAGAGCTTTTAAGACATTCATGATCGACTACGCCAGGGCCCAACTCCCATCCGCAAATACCCCTTGTCATCTCTTTCCCAGCTCACAACCAAATGACGTCGTCATTGGCTTTGGGGAGTGATTGCCCGGTCGGTGACTGTTGACGGCGGCCCTGCTGTCCCTTCTACGGCAAGCGCGCCTGCTGCTTCTTGCAGCAATCATTTCCAACATGATTGCCGCAATTTCAAGCTACTGTCGCCTCAACACTGTTGCACACCCTGAATTATCACGGCATCAATATATTTTGTGACAAGAGGCCGACAATTCGGCATTTCGGGGAAGCGGTATCAAAAAAAGGGGCTGAGAGGACTTGTCAAACACATGCTTGTGTTCGAAGATTGACATCGTATGATGACCAACCTGAGAGATCTGGCCCAAAAGACACTAGACTGGGACCAGGCAAAGGCGCTGCTGAACCACAGCTTCTACAGCCGGGTCCTCCTGTTGGCCATTGGCTGCAAAGCCGGCCACACCGGGTTGTTGAGGATTTGCCGCGAGGACATGAAGAGGGTGGCGGCGATGGTGAAGCGCCATAAAACGATAGTGATTGAGAGGCCGAGCGACTCAATGGTGTCACAGCTTGACCTAAAATACAACGAGAACGGAATTTTGGGCGAAGACGGAGGACAATCCGGCAAGAAATTCCAGCGTTTTGGAGAGATGTCAAAAGAGTGGCGCGACAGATTGACGAAAGAATTCAAGAGAATGGAGAGGGTTGGTTGGATCGGTTGGATAGAGCAAAAACTAATTGAGAAGAGGCTCGCGTCTTCTGCCACGTCAAATGCAGCGAAGACGCATCACGTAGACCTGCAAGACTCGCGAGAGCATGCCACTACAGCCCCGGCCGGTCACGACTCCAACCCCCTGAAAATCTCCTTTGTCCCTAAAATTTCGACTGAACCGAGAATTTGGGTATTTTCCACAGTCACTTCTGAAACAGCTGGAATTGAACTGATCATAATCCCGGCGACTGCTCCATCATATCTTACTCTTCTTACCATGACTGTGATGATGTACAAAACACCGACCCCCTAAAGACCCCCTTGTTAACACTTTCTCCCTAATACACCGAGGATTCACGTACTTTTGCTCTGATTACCGTTTCCATAGCTTGGATCAATCCACTGGTCATTTAGACAGCTGTCGCATTGTCTCTCACTCTTCCCAGCAAATTTGCTTGAGGTTCATGTCGACTGTAGGGTTCGGCCTGCACGCAGATGGAGGTGCAACGCGTGAATGGCGCGTCGAGAGCCAAATGGACGCGATAGTGGGGTCAGCGGCTGAGGCGGAGAGAGTGCTTGCATTTTGATTGAGCCTTGACCAAACTCAAAATTCCCGCGCTCTCCCCTGATAAGAATTTGCGGATTACTTTGTGGATGAAACGGATACATCTACAGACATCTTGCCGGCCCATTTTTCTGCTGCTCGCCACTAACAGAAACCCACGCCAGAGACAGGCGCTCTCCATGCACTAGAGTTGAGCCACAAAATTTGTGTGACCCGGTGAGTCCACTTACGACGATGACGGTTTTGGAACCTCTGCTGATCAATTCTGTGCACAGCGAGAAGAACACTGTCGAAAGCACTGCAGCTCAGAACAGAAGGCCTTCGAGTGCTCTAAGATCATGGAACCAAGCAACAAAACAGCCGCCACGCAGACCGAGGCGGAGCAACGTTGCGACATCGTATCCGCAGCAACAGCTCTACCCGAGCTGCATTCACAAACCGCCGTTGCCAACTCTTGCTCAGTGGCTCCTGAGACCAGCGACGAGCCCAACGGCGACTCCGGTGAAGGCGAGTCCGATGAGGAGCTTGACGAAGAGTCCGAAGAGGAGCTTGATGAAGAGCCCGATGAAGATCCTGATGGAGAGCCCGATGAAGATCCTGATGAAGAGCCCGATGAAGACTTGGGAAGCGACATTTTCGATGACAATTTCGATGAAGATCTTAAGGGGGAAAAGATGGAAAAGGTCGAAGAAGAGTTATATGAGCTCTACTACACGGTAAACGAATTCAAGGAAGACGCCCACTGGCTCATTGCGCGGCATCTCTTCCTGGCGGCCGATGATCCCAAACTCGACGACCTGGCACATTCGTTGAGGAGCCGGATCAGCGATCGGACGGGCATGGAGATTGTTGCGCTATTCCAAGATGCGGAATGGATCTTTGAGTGTGAAGTGAGAAGAGGAACGGCCACGAAAACCATGGAGCGAGTTGCTGCGGAACTCTCAAAGCTGTTCTTTCTGGTCGAGACACGCTGTTACCATGATGAAGCACGACTGGTTCCATGTGAAATATCTATACGCAGTCAAGCTCAAAGCGCTCCACAAACTCGCCACGGCATACAAAAAGAGACAAAACGAAGGTCGAATCAAGAAGTCGGCGGATAAGAAGAGGAAGGCATCGCCCGCCACTGACGGACCACCAGTTCAGCGACCACGCAACGCGTAGGCCGTCAAGATTGGCAAGAACACAAAGACCGCTATTGTTCGAGTCATTCGCTTTGTTTCTTGTGGACTCTGATCTGTTCGGGGGAAAATGCTTCGTCTTTCTGATTGGTCCCCTACACGCGCTCATTACGTCTTCGGCTGTATCCTTCCATGATTGTTGCTTCATCACTCCTTCAGTCTACAGGCTGTTCGATAGTTTGGCTTTGAATTGAAATGCTTCATTCTCGAAAGTGGCGCCAGAGGCCAGAGCTGAAATCTGCCTGTCACACTTAGTGAGCGAAAACTCCATCAGGGGCAAGCCCCCTGTATACATAACCCCTCACCTCTCCTCCTCCCCAACAACCAACGCAAACCCCAACCCCAAAAGCCACCGTGGTGCAGTGGTAGCACGCCAGCCCTCGCAGGTAGCCACCGTCGCATGACTTACGAGCATGCCACGTCCAGGGCCAAGTCCCTCGGTTATAGCGTGAGTGCGGTGTGACGGGAGACTGGCTGGAGACGCGAGTTCGATTCTCGACGGTGGTAAGGCAGCGGCTTTCTTTTGTTGAGTTTTTGGTCTCGTTTTGAGGTTTGCTTTTGTTGAGGAGAATACGGTGATGGTGATGGAGATGGAGGTGGAACTTGGGGATGATGGTGTTGAAGAGCATAAGGACATGAAGTTGTTTCAGGGGTTGATGGTGCAAGCCGCCTTAAAGCCACCAAGGCAGGTGAGGCAGGTGCGCGTACACCGGGAGCAGCCAAGCGCATCATCCTTAGGAAACTTGGACAACTCTTTCTTTAACGCGTGACTACAGGGAGCCTTCACTCGCCTCTGCTCGGACTATTGACGTTCCTCTTGCGCGCATACAGGGAGCATTAAAGCATTCAACCACCCAAAGGCTTGGAGATTTGCACTATCTTCGAAGCATGACCACAGGGAGTCCTCAAGCGCCTCCCCACCTAACCCCTCACCACTCACCCCCTCCCCCTGCACCAATAAGAAAGAAGCATCCAACCGCCCCTTAATTACCCAATCGGGCGTTACGGCCAGTTGACCGGCGTTCGAGTCGCTGTTTGCGCTGCTGCTATTGTTCTTTTGTTGTGTCCAAGAGGTAAGTGTGGGCCTTCACAAAAGGAACGAGACGGAAGGAAGAATAGACGAGAGAAGAAGCGAGTCGAAGCAGTATTAGTACCTACCTACTTTAGTTTACCTAGCTACCTACCTACTGCCTACCTACCTAGACAAGACAACCACACTCGCTCAAACACGCTCGGAGGTTTTGTACAACAGTCCCGCAATCAAGCAAGTGTCCACGCATCCACCAGCTAGTACCTGCAAAAGAGCAAATATGCCTCAAAAAAAACGACGCGCACGAATTCGCAGAGTGTAGCCGCCAAACTCGTCAAGCAAAGCACACGGTGCGATGAATTCATAACGAGGACGGATTCGGTCCAAAGGAGTCGGCAGAGCAGAGGATATTTGGGAACGACGGATTGACAAGGAAGAAGGTTGGACAGCATGGTTCAGTTCGAAATCGATTTTTCTTTCTTTGCCTGTTGGCAAGGTCTGACGCGACGCGACCAGACCAACCTCCGAGCATTCCTTCAGTCCGTTATGCTCTCCTCCGCCGTCCGCTTCCAACGCCACATGCGACTGGATCGACGCCGTCCGTCCATCCGGTAGACCGACCATCCCACTCCATCATCCGACTGACCGACTGACAGACAGAACGACCACCCACTCGCCAAACAGAAAACGCGCACACCTCTCCGGTAAAGGGGTAAAGAAGAAGGAGAAAAATAGTGGTAGTCGAGAAGGGTAAGAAAAAGGTTGGTAAGGAGAAGAAGAGTAAAGAAAAGAGGTAAAAGAGACTTGGCCGAAGACAACCATCCGATCATTCCGTTCGTGAGTTGAGCAAAAGGAAAAGAAAGTTGGGAGAGAAGAGAAGAATGGAAGGAACGAAACAGAAGCAAGAGCAGAAAACCCCTCATGGAAAAAAACAAGAGCAAAACCCGACGACAAACGACGAACGACAAAAGAATAACTGAACGACAAAACATGCCGCTGACCCCCCACACCTTGACTTGATGCCGCCCCAGCTAACCTGCCTCCGTTTCCTTCCTGAGTGAACTAAACCAAGAGGACGATTTTTGCTCGCCTGATTTCTGTCCTGCCGACCGCAAAACAACTATTCCGTTGCCGGCCGTGGTTGTTGCGTGATTGAATCGGTCCATCTCCATCGATCCATCCATCAGCCCGCGCTGACAGATGTATCAGACTGACCGTGACTCTTTACGAACCTCATCTCCAAACGATATGCTTGCTTTCTTGATTCGATATCCCTCCCGTGGCGCCTGTGGTGCGTGTGTTGTTGGATGACGATGCGTACTTGCTTGGTTGCTTGATTGCTTGCATGCAGAGAAGTTTTGACTTTTTTGAGAATCAGAGAAATCCGCCCAGGCGCCCAAGAATCTGTACGTTGCATTACTGCACGGGCGACACCCACAGCACCAGCTTCGGACAGCGTGCAATGGCGTCCTCCAAGGTGGCGTCACTTTCAATCGGATAGTAGATGCCGTCGGCCTCGTCGCGGTACTCGATGAGCAACTCCTCTGTTAACGCACCTTTGCCTCCATTTTCCAGTGCTCGCCGCTCTTGCAGTTTCTTGTACAAGTCGGCATATCGGAAATATGCTGGCATGCGGATTACCACGCAATTGTCCTCTTCGAGCCACACCTTGATCTTGTGTGCTCCGACGCCGGTGCCTCCTTGGTTGGAGCCCATAGAGGATTGGGTAATGGCGCTGTTGTTTCGCTTCATGGGCGGTTGGGATTGGTGCGAGGGATGCGACGAGTGCGACGAGTGCGATTGGTGTGGGTGGAGGGATTGAGCTTTTGATACCTGGCGCGTGTGATGGTTTCCCCGCAGGTTTCCGGTTGATGATTGCCGCGAAGCGCCGGCAGAGTGGTCAGTCGCCGACTGCTGGGACGCACCAGAGAGTCTGTAGCCGTCGGCGCTCACGGTTGGGTCGATTTCATAGTCGTCGGCTCGCGGTTTGAAAAATTGGCACACCAAGTCGGAGCGAGTGACGTGAGGCCCTAGCTTGAGCAGATTCTTGATGTAGTCGTCCAAGTTTGCGCGGCGACCGTTGGTAATGTTATCGGTGACGTATGTGACAGGTCCTGGCATGTATGGCAGTGTTCGCTCCACTCCTTCGACCTGGCCAGCCTCGAGCGGGAAGGCATTGATGAGTTTAATTTGAAGATCGTAAAAGTCTTGGTAAAGTCGCGAGAGCTCCCAGCAAGTGCCGTCTTCCATTTGGCATTCGACAATGAACCAGAAAATATCGTTAGCGAAGCAGTACCTTGGTACACTTGCGGTGACAGGCGCGACAGGCTTGGGTTGGGGCTCAGGCTCGTGCGACTTGCGGTATCCGTAGTTTTGCGCGGCGCTTCCGGCGCGGGAGTGAGACTGGAGGTGGTCAGCAGTGTGATGGCGCAACCCTCGCATCGAACCTACATTGCCGTTGTAACCGTTGGCGCCATTGCTGCGAGTACTTGTCCTGTCGGCGCCTTGTTGCGCCTGCGGCGTATTCGTGTCCAACTTGCCCAGCGGGATGCTCCCATTCTTGTATTCAGCCGCCATCTTCTTCCACTCCTCGACGCGGGGCACGCCAGCCGCGCGCACAGCTTCATGCGGATCGGGGACCGGCTGGCCGGTAGCCATGTCGCGAATCTCGATAAAGGAGACGGGAATGAGGCCGGGACCGCCCAGGCGCGTAATGGGCTTTGCGACGAACCATTCTGGGTTGGATTGGGCGATGACGATGATGGCCTCTCCCTCCTTGGCTTCGAGCTCGTCTGGGCGCTCGGCCTTGAAATCGTACATTACAACTCCGTAAACCATGGCGCCTGTCCCTTTCATAGACTTTGAGATGCGCAGTGGTTTCGCGTCGTGCTCAGCCGAAGTCTTTTCTGCGTAGCCGGAGTCGTGACCAGCGCTCGGAAGGTTGCCAATGTCAGCGACGGAGCCGCCGCTGTCCCTGACGGTTTTGCCGACAATGTCAAAGTACTTTACTGGAACGAGACCGCGCGAGCCGTGCAGCGGGTTGCATGCCTCGTACCAGTCAGGATCGTTTTCGCGGCCGACGACGTGCAAAAAGTCGCCTTGATTGAAGCTGAGGTAATGGTCTTGTTCGGGGGCCTGGTAATCGTAGAGAGCTTTAATAACCTGGGTCGCGATGGATTAGCGAGAGTGGCAATAATTTCGGGATTACGGTGCAAATCCCAGGGATGGGATGGTGCTAAGGCTGGGCTGGGGATTGCGTCGCGGGCGTTGCAGGCAAAAGGCGGCGGGCAGAAATGTGTGCAGGCATTTGCGACTTGGGTATCTGTACCTTTTTCGGTGGCACGATGGCTATGGCATCTTTTGGAGGAATGGAAATGTGTTGCGGCTTGACGTCCGCCTTGCTGTCGCTGCTCTTGATGGATCTCCGGAACTAAGACTCGTGTCAGCTCGCGCACAGGGTCCACAGACGACCCCTCCGTCGTGGGTGGGCGCGCAAAGCGAACTGACCTTCACCATGGCGACTCGTCGGGTGGGAGGAGCGCTCCAGCAGCAAGTTGAAGCAGCGATGGGGCCAACGGGCTGACGGGCGTGTAACGGCGAGAAGTATATCGGCGGTCGGGCGGGTCGAGTAGTCGAGCGGTCGAGGGCGAGGTTGGTGTCCGGGTGGTGAAGAGGGCGAGGAGGAGCAGCAGGACGATGAATGGAACTGGACTGGACCCGACGCGGACTGGCTCAGCGGCCTTGGGGCTCTCGGTGCCAGTGCAAGGTTTTGGGCGCGGGCGGCGTCGCAGGCGCGCTGAGGAATGGAGGCGGGGGGTCCACTGCAACAAGCGCGTAGTGGTTGTGATGAGCACACGACTGGAGTTGCAGACGAACAAGCCGTTGATGAAAAGAGAATGTCTATGTCCTCGTCTTGGGCTCGAAGACTTGCAGCAGACTCAATGGTGGGCGCGGCAAAAAGAAAGCGGCACACTCTCTCTCTTAGTCTTAGGTACCTACTCTACTACGCCTCGTGCTCCAAGCCACAGCGACACGCAACAATGAGAACCATCAAAGCATCCGGCCTGGATCCGGCCTGTATCGCCTTCACTGGCCGCCGTTGTCTTTCATCTTCTCTGTACCTGCACCTCCGCTGCACCCACCACCAGCAGAGCCCAACCGCCCGTCAGCCATCAGCAGCCACCGCACATGCCCTGCCGTCGACGTCATGTCTGGGGATCCTCTACTCGTGAGAACATGTAGTCTACCCCTCCTCTAGGCATTTGTCAACTGCGCATGAATATGATGCTCGGCTGCGGCGGTTGAGGGGTACTCAAGCCTCCCGTTTCGGACAAAGCGAACTTCATAATGCCTTCTACTCTACATCGTCATGATTCCTCGGCTTACTCCAAATCTCGAGACGTGCCAAGTTGGCCCATCCAGCATACAGCCCAGCCAGCCGATAGACGCCTCACGCTCCATGGCCGCTGTCGTTGAT